AAGAAAATCGCTAAACGGTTAGTAACTAAATAGCGAATCTTTTAAAGTTAGAGAACGAGTAAAACGTTTAAAAAGTTAAAAAAATCGTTATAATATAAAGCAAAAGAGAAAACTTATAATATTTTATTAAATAAGCTAAGTAGCTTACTAAGTATAATATATAAGAGCTTATTAAGTATTTTAAAGGGGTAGTAAAAATAGTTAAAAAATTCGAACGTTATAAAAAAAGGGTATATATAAAATAAGATAATAAACGTTAAGTTCGTAATAAAAAGTTATTAAAAATAAGTTAATTAATAATACTCTATAGAACCCTTTTTATTTAGCTTAGCGCAATTCTTAAAAAAAAAAACATAATATTATAACCCTTAGTAATACGTTACTAAGAAATTACTAAAATCTAGCTATATAGGGAGAGTAACCTACGTAATATTAATAATAGTAACGGTAGCTCTAGTATATACTTCTAAAGCTTAATAGTTAGTAATAGTAGTCCGCTTAGTAAATAAAAAACGAAGAAGCTTTATACGTATACTTAGCTAACTACTTAAAATAAAGTTATTAACCTTATTAATACTATAATAAGTAAAAAGGAGGTAGTTAAAGTCGCATAGAGTATTATATATATTAGTAATAGCGGTTCGCAAAGCGTTCGCTACTTAATCACTATTAAAAACTATAATAAGAAGCATAATAAGAGCTATAATAAAAAGTATAACGGGAGCTATAATAAGAGATATAATAAGAGCTATAATAAAAAGTATAATGAAAATAAAAGGTAAAGTAGGGGGCGTAACGCTATTATTATTAGTAATAGGTTAAAAAAAGAGGACGTTATCTAAAATAACGCTCTTATAGTCCTAATCGAGCTAAGGGGCCTTAGTAATATTAATATTTATAAAGAATATATTAACGTCGAATTACTTATTACGACCCGTAGTTTTAACTTTAGTATAAGTAATAGCCTTATTAAGCTATTATAAAGCCTTTACTTAAAGCGAGAAGAGTATAATACTAGCCTTATTAAAATTTAAAGTAATATGACTAAGGGCTAGGGTACCCTCGTTTATACTAAAAAGAGTATCGTAAGTAAATATTAGTAAGTTATTAATATTAAAATAGCGGCGCTTATTATAACGCTAAGAAAAAAAATTCTTTAAATTGCTACTAAGCTCCTTAAACTTAGTATCCTTATACTAGGGCTTATTAAACTTAAACTTAAAGTCGTCCTACTTATCGTTATTATTAAGAATATAGTTAGTAATAAAAATACGCTTCTTAATAAGAGTCCGAGTCTCGGGACCGTAAAAAATAGGAGTAGTACTATATATAATAATAGTATAAATAAGTACCTTATTTACTAAAAACTTAGTAACGCGTTTATAAAAAATAGAAAAAATAAAAAACTCCTAAATACGTATAATAATAACGCCCTTAGGAATCTTTTTATAATATTAAGCTAGAGTATTAAAATTACTTCGTAAAGCGGTCATATAGCTATTATTATAAAAATAAGCTAGCTAAAAGTAACTAAGGTAAGAAATAATCTTAATTTTATTATTAGTATTAAGGATACTAGCTTAAAAAAAAAATCTAAGTTAATAAAAAGAAAATTCGCTAAACGATTGCTAACGACTTATTATAATTAAAATTAATAAGTTTAGATACTTATAGTTAATAATAAGCTCTTAAAAAGTAGCCTATTTAAAATAGACTTTTTTCGCTTTATTACTTATTAACGGGTTAGTAATATAAATAGCGACCTTTTTTTACGTATTAGTAATATAGCTAAAAATATAAAAAACGTAGCCGCGTTTATAAAAATTAAGGCTATTTTACTCCTTAATATTACAAAACTCTATAAAAGTATTCTAAATAAACTAAGTAGCGCTATATAACTCCTTAAGAACCTAAAAGATATCGTTAGCTAATATTTTAGTAATAAATTAGTAAGGACTTAACGACTTATAGTAAAACACTTCTTTTTATTAATTTAATAAATAATATACTTAGTAACGTAAACGCTAGTAATATAAACGAGCTTGTCGATATTATAATATATACTAGCTAAGTAACGTATATAAAGAGTACTATTGCAGAGATTATAGAAGCCCTTTTTTAAATTATACTCTATATTAAGTATATTTTAAATACGTAAAATAGTAAATATTTTAGTAAATACTTAGTAATAATATAGTAAGAGAGTCGTAATTAGGAAACAATACGGAATTAAAATATTATAAAAAAAAAAGTATAGTTATATAAAAAAAAATTCGTAAAACGGTTACTAAATAAAAAGGAGAAAAAAAAAATAAATACGTAACTAGTAATAAAAAAAAAATCTTTTATTATACTTAATAATTTAATAATAATAATAACTACGAGGCTAAGCAAGCTCTTATATATTACAATAGTTAAAATACTTTATTATAAATATATACTACTAACTTAATAACTAATTAGTATACTATTATTAAATAATAATAATAAGGTATCCGTTAAATAAAAAGATAAGAATAATACCTTATTCTTAGGTAAAAAAGGATATTATTAATGCCTTACGGAATTTATTATAAATAACGACGTTAATAGCTTTATTATTAATATTAAAAAAAGATATTACGTAATAACTTTAGGGACTAAAGTTACGTAAGGGGGGAGTAATTATAATAGATTTGAGATACGGCTAGTAATAGGACGCTAATAACTTAATAACTAGTATATAATTTATATTATAAAAAAACTTTTTAAGAAGTAAAGCCCTTATAAAAGACTTTATAAGCTTTAGTTTTATAATATACCTATACCTATATTATAGCCTTACTAATTAAGTACTTATAGCCTAATCTCTTATATTAAACTACGCTTAGAAAAACTTAATATTTAAAAATAAACGATAAACGGAATTTAGAATATAGCCCGGAGGCCTAAAATAAATAAAATAAAAACCTCTTATAACCTAAAGGCCTAAATTCCTAAAATAATTTTACTTTATAAAGTATATATATATAAAAATAAAACCTAGGCTTATATTTATTATTTAAATTCTTAGTTTACGAAGTATATAATTACTAAGAATATAGTATTATTAAAAAAAAGAGTTAATATACGTACTAAGAAACGCGTTTTATATATTTCGAAGTTTATAAAACTAGGAGTAGTAGGGATAGCGGGGGGTATAGGAACTAAAATAATTATTAAATTAATAACTTAGGGTATAAAAACGGGCGGTATAATAAAAAGTTAGTTATAAACGACTATAATAAGTATAAAAAAGGACCGGGGGTGCGGGTTAAAAAAGTCCTTTATATAAAAGCTAATATAGTTCTTATATATCTTTTAGTTATTTTATATTTAACGAACGATATTACAGAGCTTAGTAATATCCTATTAAAACTATGATTAAAAGTGCGCTTTTTAATAATAAAAAAGGATAATATATTTATAAAAAAGGGAGCGCTATTTATAATAATTTTAATAAGGGCCTAGGTTATTAATTATAAAATAACTAGTATATTAATATACCCCTTAGCTAAACGGCTATTAAAATAGTATATATATTAGCTACTATTTTTTATAAAATAACGACTACTATTTTTAAAGTTAGTAAACTAGAGGGTTATTTTAAAATAGGGTAAATACTAAATCTCCTATTTTTTAGGAGCCTCTTTCTTAAGCTTTTTAAGGACTAAATATATATTAAATAAGCTTAGAATAATAAAGAGAACTATACTTATTATAGGGGGTATTTTTACTTCTTAGTATTCTTTTTTATTTTTTATTACCTTTTTAAAAAGAGCTAACTTTACGTTTTTTAAACTTTAAAATAATATTAAATATAAATTCTTAAAATAATAAGTATATAATATACCCTTTTTAAAAGGCTTATTATTTAAATTAGTTTTATTTTTATTTTTAAACTTTAAGAGGGGGATAAGTAAAAGCTTATTAAAGCTCTTATTATTACTATTTATTTTATTATTACCCTTATTATAGCTATTAAAAAGAGCCTCGAACTTAATAAAATCTTTAGTATTTTAATTAATAACCTTAATATCCCCCTAGTTAAGGAGGGAGAGCTTAGTAACCGGGCTTTAATAAGTAAATAGGAGGTTATAGGGGGGAAAAATAACTTAGAAGGGCTCGTTAATATTATTACTTATCTAAACTCTTAATAAACTATATAATATATATATAAGAAGTATTATAAAAATTATATAAAACTTATTATTATTTTTAAATATATTAAATATTTATATTTAAAATAAAATTAATAAATAATTTAATAATATAGGCGCGCGCGTATAATAAATAGGGGTACTTATAATAACTACGAAAAGTTAAAAAAAAAAAGAAAAATAATAGCTAAGTAATACTATAAGAATTTAAATATATATAAAATAGCTAGGTAACTTTACCCTTAGTAATTTATATACTAAAAATAGTATAATACGTACTATTCTAAATTAGGATTCTATTTACTTTAAATAAAGGGATATATTTATAATAAACGTAGTTTAAAAAACGCGTATTTTTTATATTTATTTTTCTTTTATTTATATTTAACTAAATTAGGCCTTTATAAAAGTATTTAGAAATTCTATTTTAAATATAATAGCTCCTTAATAATAGTAATTAGGGGGTATATTACGTAATAAAGATAGTAATCGCACCTTACGAAGTGCCCGTTACGTACTAAATTACGTATTTATTTTAAATATCGTATATATAGACCTTTTCTTTTTATCTATTTCTATTTTAATAGTTAAGCTACTTTTATTATACTTCGTATACCTATTACTACGTGCTATAACTCGTAATAGTTATAAGCCTAGCTCCTATCCGCTATTACTATAATAATTAAGTACCGTATTATTTATAGGTCGTGTACCTAAAAAACGAAAGACGGCCGTTCGAGTCTCCGTATAGGTAGGTTTTTTTAGTTAGTCTAGGCTAAGGCGTAGCGTAAATACTAGGTTTTTCTAACTAGTCTGCTACTTATGGGGTTAAGGCGCAGTATAAACGCCCATTGCACGGATAACGGCTCTAGGCGTCTGGGGGGTGTGTTACGAGATATGGATGTGGTTAATGCTGCCCACATTAAGTGGGCCCGCTTTTTGTGACATAATATGCCAGAATTCCAAGTAGATCTAGGAATGAAAATGCCGAAATTGTCGGTGCGATTGCTTCGGTTCCTGCGCTGGCTCGGCACGAAACCACCGCCGATAACTCTAGGTTTGAGGCTGAGAATTGTCCGTCACATCTCGCGGATTCAACTAGATTCGCGAAATTGTTTGCGAGGATCTATGCCACTCCCATGTTACACCCGTAGATCCGAACGGCGTTCTTCTGATCCAAACCCATGTATTTGATCTACAAAAAGGAATGCCCGAACACACCACTGCCCTGGATAATAGAATCATTCTCTCGATACAGCACATAGCGAAGGCGTGGAAGGACAAGACCAAGACCCCCGTGTCTGAAAGAGACTTTACCCATCTTATGAGTGTATTGTAACCATTGTATCTGGATTGATCTCCGCCGATTGAGTAGCCTCACATACTTGGTCAATCTTACGCATATGCCGTTTACTTCTAACAGACATCATGAAACAACTATAACAGATTCACATCAAAGCTCAGAATGCGAGTTGCAATGCTTCTCAAATAACCCTTCAAAGCTACCAACTCAGAAGTTCCGAAGTCACTCCCTACTAGGCCCATAAGGGAACCAATTGAAGTGGTCGTGAGCATTATCCTAATCCGGGCTCAACTTTCGAAAAGAGATTCAAACATCACGCCACTCCTTGCGTCTTTGTCTCAGCAATGTCCGGGACGGTCATCTCGGTATTGGTTCCCCCACATCACACAACACTCGAACATGATGGCATTCTTAAAACTGCGAGGTTCTGTCCGACGTACATTAGGCTAGCTAATAGGTATGGCAAGGTGGGTTGAAGATTTTGAGCGGAAGGGTTAGGGGATGGAAGTCATGTTGAATATGATGTTCATTGGTTTTCACATGCGTTTCTCTTGCATCCCACTTCCTTGAGCGTGTAGTTTTTCAGTAGTAAAACTCGCCCAGAAGACAATTTCTAGTGAGACCACCCACATGGATTCAATAGCCATTTTCCTCAATGACGAATGAGGAAGGCAAACATCAATCACAGTCGTCTCTGTGCGATGAAAGAACTGAAAAAACTTCCCTTGTTCCCGCTTTACATGGTTGAAAAATATCACCCACATGGCTCGTAAATGCTCCCTATCAATACAGAGCTGAAACAATTTCTTCGCAATACATTGCTAGTGTTCCATGACGCTTAAACAGTAGAAAAGACAAAAGGGGTATCTTGAAATGCAGTCTGACCAGCCCAATACAAAGTCTTGAAGTTCATGCTCGTGGCAGATCCACCTCCCTGCCCATAAAAAAGGCGGACGTTTCATCGACGCCTTGCCTTACTGAAGAGAACCGGGATTGAATACGCTGGTCCGTTAAGGCCCCATCATTCGAAGTGATCCCGGGGGGGCTACGTCGACCCGAGAGCCATAATACACCACCGCGGCGGTGTCCAGTCCGGAAATAAGTCGCAAACGGCCTTCATCGCCGCCTCCATTTGCCTCGCCATCTGCTGCTCGAGCACGCCGTTCGAATTTGCAGGCACTAGCTCAACCTCGTCGTTGTAGACAGGGTTTTCGTCCCGCGGCACGAAGACGAGCTCTTCCAGCTTGGGCATACGCGCGCGGATCTGCTTGAGGACCTCCACCGTCAGGTTGGCGGCGCTCATGGACTGGTACATTGTGTCGACCCAGAAGAGCGAGTCGTTGATGGCAAGGCGGCGCACTTGTGAGATGTCTTCGGGATCGCAGAGGGCCATGACTGTGCGAAATTGCGCCTCGGAGGCCATATAGCCGTCGCGGGCGCCAAAGTAAAGGACATCATGGACCTTGTCGAAGAAGATTTGGCCCGGGTTGCGCGTCATGCCGAAGCTGAGGTGGTACGACTTGAGGGCCTCGAGGCGGGATTCATGGCAGGCGTGGAGGTTGGTGGGTACGGCTGTGTACGAGGTACACCCGCTCGACGAGGGCCTCGGTGACTGGGCGTGGGAGGCGAAGGAGAGAGACTTGGCACCGCACCGAATGGGCACAACCCGCGGCGGTGGGAGGTTGAGGTTCCAGATCTTGAGGCGGAGTTCCACGGGCAGCCTAGGGAAGAGATGCTGTGATGTCTTCGGTCAACAGAGCTGGGCGCGGCTACGAGCTATACGGGAGATCGACGGATCTGAAACGTACAAATTGGGTTAAGGACTGAGGTGGTATCGCTTGCGCGGGGCAGCCGGTTGTTCGCGTTCTTGGAGCGGAGGTTATCGTGATGGTTGACATGATCTGTATGAAGCGAGGCCTGGCGCGAGACTAGCAGAATGGTTTTGCAACGTCGAAGTCCCGCAATGTGAGAATGGATGCCGAGAAACGAACGGATGTGTTTGTTAGGCCAGTGCGGGACACGACGACAGGTTGATGGAGGGGTGGCAAGCGTGAGTGGTTATTATATCGGCCGCGACGCCGCGGGTACCAGCGCTATCCCGGGCAAACGATACAAAGGATAAAGGATATGCCTGCCAGTCTGCGTCCCACAAGGTCCAAAGCGACCCGAGACATCATTAGACTTCTTTGACAAATACCCAGCCCCGGTTCTCCTCACAACACTGGGGTAGGAGGAAAAGCTATGTGCATGCCATCTTTTTCGTGATTCATGACCACTTGACGAACACACCCCCCAGACTGCATATGTGTGTCAGGGAAGAAAGTGTGGCTGCCCAGAACCCGAGGCTTTGGGTCGGGGCGACCAGGGATGTTCGCGCTGCTGCTCGCAGGATTCTGACGGTCATTTCTCCCATTCCAGTTAGAGTGTCATCGGTGACATAGTACTTCGTACTCGATAGTCAATTGTCAAAGTGGTCGGGAAGTTCGAGGGCAGGGTGCCGTTCTAAGGGATGGTCAACATCCGTCTGCACGATAGAACTGGAGAGATATTGGCACTGAGCCATGACTTCAGGACTCTCGTAATTACAATGATATTCTGCCGTATTCGAGCCAATGACGTTCGATGTACCCTTGAAGATGGAATACTCGTTAATCTCAATGTGAGAGAAGAGTGTGAGAGGTTCTCTGCAATGCAGGTAAAATACCTATAGAAGCCTTGGGAGTCTCGAATTCGGGCCAAGGGGTGCAGATCTGCGGGAGCGCTGCTGGGAAAGCCAAAGCGGTGCGAATTGTGATGGGCCGGACCCATCAGGCACATGTGAAAATGCTGCGGATAGACAAGGAGGGCTTGCTGGGCCTGGCTAGCACCTGTGTGGGCAATCAGGATTCCCGTCCGCTGTTACCCGCTTTCCTGAGTTCTGTGTGCCTGTTTGGTCCTCCCGGGAGTCGAAAGAAAGGAATTCGACCGGCCCGGCCGTAAGTTGGTCTGTAGATCATTAGAATGCAATGACGGGTGATGAGCGCCTGGTTGGTTCCAGTCAGTTGGGCTGAGCCAGGGGTCAGGGGCCTGGACAGGGGATGTCTCGGTGGCCGCTGCAGTCTGCTTATGCTGTAGTCTGTGTGTCTGTGTGTTGAACCAGGGCCTTTCTGACGAACCATTGAATTTGGGTGGTTCTCAAGCGTCGTATCCCTCGCTTGGCTATAGACAATCTCAGCTGAAGCGGAGTACGTAGTCCCGTCCTGGTCCGGACTTTTAAAGTTGCTGTATTGGATGACATTCAGAGAAACCCTGCTGCAAGGAGGACAATGTCGCCTGTCAAAACCCAATGATACTCTGTAATTCGCACAAAGAGGCAGAAAAATATCGTGTCTGCCATGCGGGACATGGATCAACGACTGACTGACCTGCTGCAATGCATCTTGATGGTGCAACAGGAGTCAACCCGAGCATCTGGGACACCCAAACCCAGAGGGATGGACTTGGGAGCCGTGCCGCAGTGAATCCCCGTGGCGCCACGGTGAGACTTGAGTCGGCGATTCGACCTGTCACTTCGTAGTCGACTTGAATGGGCGAACCGTCACCCCACAGTCTCTGGCTGCCGAACTCCGAGTCCTGGGCCAATACTTGCAGTAGCCAGCTGAGTACGGTAGCCGCAGTGCTGTAGCTGGCAACCTTGAGACCTTTGGCTTTCGCTAATGTGCTGACAATGGCTTGCTCGACATTCCACACCCGGTGGACGTTGAGAGCCAAGCACCTAAACTCTCGCTTCCCACCGATGTGCAGTCACGTCTGCCAAGTTCATCGTTCGCCAACTGAAGACTGGTTCGCTAGTCTGTCCAAACTGTTCTGACACCCTGGACGAGCTGGGGTATCAGCTAGGTTCGGCCGCTGGCCCGCTACTTTGTCCGTTAATGGCCCGCGGGCTAGTGCAGACAATTGTTGACATGCGGAGCAGTCGGCCCTACCCGGCGGACGCCAATGTCTCTTGCAGTGGAGGCCAAGAACTAGGCCGGACTGGGCCCAAAGGTATGGTCGTCTTACCTACCTGTGAAAGACCTTTGGACGAGGCTGGTGCCGCAAAGAGCTTCGTGTGCCGGCGATAAACCGACATGGAGTTCGGATCAATGCTCTCTAAAACCATACAATGGCCGCTATCCGTGTCTAGGTGCCGCTGTAAGTAGTCGTCATTTCTAGTCCGACATGCCGGCTTATTGATGGCTGCAGAGTTTTGACAGCCCCAACATCAGTTTGATAACCGCAGCCGGCTGCAAGGTTGGTACAGCCTCATCTGCAAGCCTGCAGTTCTTCTTGTTGTATGTGCGAATACAATTGCTTGCTTAGCTCACCCTTTTGTGGAGGGGTCTGATACCCTGTCGTCCAGACGCCCCTGGTGATGTGGAATCATTACCATCGCTCTCGGAAGGTGGAAACGCCATTGGTTGAGCAGTGTGCTGCATGTCGCAGCTCAGAGATGAGACACACTCGTGGTCATGGAGAGTTCATCGCAATCCAGCCTTCAGGAACGAACGTGTCGGACAACGTCGCGGTGACCACCAGTTGTCTCGTCCAATCTCCGTGCCCGTACTCCGCAACCTTGTAATTCCGTGTCCGTGTATGTCATCAGGCCTCAAAGAAGAGAGACCAACAGCAGGCTTCACAATTTGACGCTCAAGTTGGGCAGCCTTTCGTGAAATCCAGCTGGCGAAGTTGTATATTGGTTTTGCAGATACGAAGGAGCGCATTTCTTTTTCGTCGGCGTCGGCGTGGGATGGAGTGGATGGTAAGCCGTCCCAACATGGAGATGAACAAGGTCAACTTGACTCGCCAGCTGGTGACGCAGCTAACCAGTTGTCAATAGAGTAGGTAGGAAGGAAAAGTATCACGTGATAACCCCACTTTTCCCATGGCACTTCCCGTTCATCAGGTGAAAACAAAAGAAGCTTACCTAAGGTAAGTCGCCTGGCCTGGATCAAGGATGCCGGGAGTGCATTTCATCTCCACTCTTCCCGCTTGACGTGAGCTTAATCCTCGGATTCCTTTTGACGGCGGCAAATAAGAACCTCCAACATCAAAATCTGATTCTATTATCACTGACTTGCAGCAACCTCAATTGTGGTCACATCCTGATCAGCGAATAAGCGTTCTTGTTTCGATTTTCGAAACGAGGTTATCTGCACCTTATCATTGGCCTCCCGCCATTTTAAGCGCCGGGGATGACCGCCAATGGGACCGGCATTTGCGGGCTTCTGACCAATGTGAAGCTCACCGGCTGTTCAGGGGTGCCCGATGATCGCCTCCCTCAGAGCCCCGAGATGTCGCCAGCGCGGCTATCTTGCATCGGCGCAACGCTCGTCACGATAATTTTGGACACTACCTTTCTTTCCCCATGTGTGTTCAAGATTACGTGCCGTGCCTAGACACGGCACACGGCGCGTAGTCAGGCTATGGAGAGGTTGTATATGTACGCTCCATGATCGCACTTTCGTAGGTCTGTGATACTGGAAAACCACACAACTGCCTGACTGCCATCCCATTTTCTCTTTTCTTACGTATTTTCTTTCCTGGAGATTGTTTCTCACATTACGTCTAGTCATTCTCCATTGTAATAAACCTCATTTTACGACAATATTTCACGACTTTCTCTTTAGCCATGTCTTCCGATCTCAAGAACGTCACGCAAACCTCGGACTTTGAGGTCGATTCTGATGACGCTCACTACCCTCCTCGCGCACGTCTTCTTAAGACAGTCGATACTGCAAGAGTCAGCTTGACGGCTGTGGCCCTTCTGATGAGCATCACCATCCTTGGTACATCAGCAGATGCCCTGGCTGTCTACGATGCCACCCATGTACCAGCCGGCTTCATGCTTCCGCTGTGGCCGGACGCCTTTGACTTGCGTCCAACAGTCGCACTCGTGGTTGGGAGCTCCATTCTCATAATCGTCAATCTCGTCTCTCTCCTTTTCAGTCGAGTTCAAAGCGTAAGTCAGGTCTGCTTTTTGACATCGTACCTTAAGGAAGTCAGCTCCGACTGACATCAAAAAGCTGCGTGGTCAAACTCTCATCCACAACTCATTGGCAGTGGCCGCCCCATCGGTTGGATTGGTGGCATCGATCATTGCCATGTCCTTCTTCTACAGCATCAACGCATCGATCACGGTCGACACCCTACAGAGCTGGAGCTGCCGCTGGTCCGATGTTGTGATGATGACGAGGCCGCATTTCGGTACCCTCTGCAAGCAAAGCAAGGCGGGCCTCTACCTGTCCATCCTGCTGATCCCGATCGAGGCCATCATCGTGGGAATGGGCGGCTATCAGATGATGCTCGAGCGGTACATTAGCAAGTCCAACAGAGTAGTACTGGAGCAGCGCAAGTCTGGCAGCCCGGTGCCTTCATCAGTCCGCGACGTCGAGGGCGATCACCACTGAGAGGAGCGGCTGAGTGTTCGTTCAATAGGCCTAGGTTAACGGTCGTCGTCTGCTATGTATCCACAGGTTGGGTCCAGGGGATAAAGAGGAAGCCGGAAACGGAAGTTTTCCATGCTTGTAATCAGGCGTCAAGGATGTGTAGCATTAGCAGAGGTGGGAGCCAACTACGTCACGTATCAGCGTAGGTATCCAATTATTCAATGTTTTCTGAAGTTTTCGCGTCCCTCGTCTGCAAAAGTGAATGGCGCTTCTCGACTTGCCGGTACCAACTCAGGGTTTGATCCGATTTTCATCCTTTTAGCAGCTATGCTCCTCGATCGAAGGCTGCATGCGGCGTTCCCCGAGGTCTAGCAGCTTGAAGCTTGCAGCCACCAGGGGATCTACGAGCCGCCACTCGAGTGTCCGCTGACGCAGGTGTATCCTCAACGTGCATTTAAGCTGGTGAAACCTGAGAAGTTCCTCGATTATGACCGTTTGCGGACGAAGTGCTACTGCACTGGAGTGGATAAGGGTCGATGGAGCTGGCCGCCCCTGCCCCGGCACGATATGCTTAGCCGCCCCTCTAAGGATATCGGCATGTAGATTTTTGTTACTACTTATCCATGTAATCCTCGAGTCTACGCAAAGTAGCAAGCGAGGGTTTGGGCCATAGGCGAACGAGTTTCAAGCTTATAATCTTGTCGGTAAAAGAGTCAAGGTGAAGTCTCGCTCAGACCGCTTGAACCCCTTGATGAACGACTGTAAGTCCCTTGGGCGCTGGAAACCATCCTCCTATCTTGGAGAGAGCTTGTCCCCTATCTTTGAGTTTCAGTGAGACGCCTTCAAGCCACCAAAGACTCGAGAGACAGCCAAATCGGAGTGAAGGGTCGTAGGGGGACTCGGGAGTCGCTACACCAAGTTAGACGCACGACTGACGACCACGGCTAGGGCGGCTAGGCGCTGCCGGGCGACAGGTCGACGCGGAACGATTGGCCCGAAAGCACAGCGCGTGCAGTGTGCTTGGTGAAGTTGGACTTGGGGACTTGGGATGAACATGGAAGAATCAAAATGAGCGCCGCTTTGGCCCTCGACTAACAGAAAGTGGCCGTGAATTCTGCTCATAACCCCATCCTTAGCGTGATCCACCTCTCATCTTTTCTCCGGTACGTACCCTAGCGTATCTGCACCTGCACCTATGAAGGTGGCTCGTTTGCTCCAGTGCCCACTCATGACTGCCAATGGCTTCCCATTTCCCATGTTTTAGACTACCCGGAAACATAGTCATTCCGTCCAATCTTTACCAACTCCGTCGAACCCAGCAGAAACACACTCGCCTGTTGTTAATCACCGTCTCCATTGTATTGACTTATTCGCCTTTGACCCGGCCTTGTTCCTGTCAAGACGGCGCAATCAGAACCGAAGGATGGAGCCAGACGGACGTGACGGACTCGACTACTTCGGACCAACCCTCCAACCGTGAGCTTGCCCAGCCAGTCCAGACGGCTCCAGAGCCCAGACGAAGCAGACTTGCCACCCCACAAACCACGCGAAATCAGCAAACAAGACAACTTCTTTCTCCCTCTCTTGTCAGCGCTTTCCGGATGTCGCACAGTCCATGATGCGGCTGGCCGAGCAGCTGGCTGCGGCGTGCCTTTGACCTTACCCTTCTCGCTCTCGTCTACCGATATTTCAGGCACCACACTCTACTACCGACGTACCGTAGACCGATTTAGGCGCTACTACATTCCAGAGCGGCCCTCGTGTACTGAACCCTGAATTTCTGGTATCCAGACTGCCTTTGACCATGTCTCTGGCCCATGCCACATTAGCACTGACGGCAGCGGGAAGGCTCCAGACCTGCGGAATCCCAAGCAATCTCTCGTGTCGCAGACATGTAGCTTGATAAGTTGAGGGCTGCAGCGGGCAACACTGCCGAGAATGGCAGAGGTAAGGTATGAATGAACCAAGGCACGGTAGGATGATTGCGGGTTTCCAGGTTGTTCACTTCGTGTGCCACCCACATCCAAACTCCATGGTCGCAATCAACGGAGAACCCTGGCAACACACACGTTGTAGTCCAGCCGTAGACAACTTTAGGTAACACGGCCATGCCTCGCCTCCAGACATCGCGTGGTCAATCAACATGAGGTGCAGCCCTCCCACACATTCGCTCTAGAGTAGTTCAAGTAGTTTGTTACCTGGCCACATAATCTACGGTCTGCTACCGAATCTTTCCCATACCAATTGAAGTACTAGATGAGGCAAGTAGCCCTACCTACGTAACGTGCCCTGAAATCAGAGAGCACCGGTATCCAAGTGAGGCAAAAGAAGATGCGAGCTTGGGCAAGCTTCGTCCAGTCCAGTTCAGTCCAGCCCGCTTTCTTTCTCCATCTTTCCTCCTTCCGTTCGTTCTGATCGACCTGTCTTGCGTTGAAACCGGGCTTCGTCAAGTGGGAAGAAAGGCGTAGAGTGCGCATCTGGCCTTGGCTTTTTCCGTTTTCAACCATTTCCTCGCGTTTCTGGGTGGCTAACTGCCTCTGCATCGATTCCGTCCCAACGACTCGCGCCCCCATAGCTCCTCCGGCTGACGACCAGCAACAGCTAGCACCAGCCATCTTCACCTCATATAATAGTCCCCCGAGTCACCAGGCAGTCGGATTCTGGTTTTTTTTGGTATTCGCTCGTCCAGCTGTTTGTTTCCCGTATCAAACACCCTCGGAACTCCGCCTGTATTCCGCCCAGCGCGTCTCGTCCCCTTGCCACATCTTGTAAGATCGGCAAATCGACTTCTATCAGTGGCTGGTCCTTTGCATCGACCTTCTGCGCCTTTATCATCCTTTCGGCGACTGTTTCTAGCCCTAGCCGCCTCGAGTACGAGAGACTCCGTGCGCGTCGACCGCTCGACCTATCTACACTGCACTCTTGACAGCTGAACATATTACGCCAAGTCCAAGGGGAATCTATTCGTCCAGACTTGCTCAGTTCGCTAAACATCACTCGACGGTAGCGGTTGGTCTCTATTCGGTACGTGTTGAGCTAGGTGGTTTATGGGCGATGGACGACACTAACACGGCCGCTACTAGTGAAAGACGCCGTTCCCAGACAGCCACGTCTGATACATCAGCCCAATTCTTAAGCACCGTCGAAACACCTTTATCTCAGCTTCGGGCCTTCGAACATCGTCGCAGAAAATGGCTGACCCTGTCTCCCCGCCTTCTTCCCCTCCCGCGGACTCTGTCACCCCTAGCACAACCAACTCTCACCCACCCGTCACCCCCGAGAACAAACGTCTTTCGCAGGTCGGCGGTATGTCTTTTGCTGAGAGACGGATGAGTCGTCGTCCCTCCACCGCACCCACTCCTATTGTCGAGGGAGACGGCCTTACCAGAGACGTCATTCACTCTTTGCCCGGCGATACTCGCAACAGCAATAGAAAATCCAAGACGCAAGCCGACATGGCCAAGCGCCGCAGCTCTTACTACGAGGAGGCTTTCCAGGGCGATAGGGAGTCCAATGTGGTCAAGGATCGCGCCTATGCTGAGGCTATCGTAATGGCAGAGCTCCGCACCAACGTCATTGTATGTAATCTCCTCGCGTCACGAGTGGAGAGCTTCAACTAATTCATTTTCCTAGATCAACGACGAGTTCAGTTTCATCACGGACTTCTCATACCAGCTGTCGGTTAGGTACCAGCGGCCAGTAACTTCGATCGTGGTCAACCTGCAGCATGGAGCTTGCATGCTCTTTGGAGGTACTTTTGAACCGGCCTACACCATGTCGATTCACGCATTACCGCTCGAGGTCGGCGTAACCAAGAACAAGAGGAACACGGCTCTGCTTCAGAAGCACCTCCACGAAGCTCTCGGCGTTGCGCCCGTCCGTGGATTCGTCAAGTTCGTCGAAGTTCCTGCGGAGAACATGGCTGTTAATAGCAAGACTACCGCTTCTCACATTGCAGAGATGACCGGCGAGGAGGAAGAGACCATCGCCGAGCGCCGTGGTCGCAACCGCAAGAGTATCAGTGGCAAGGTACGTACTATGAAAATCATGGGTGAATACGAGAGATATTAACAGATTGCAGTCCATGTCAGCTCTGCGCCACGGCTCCATTGTCGGAGGCAGGAAGGGCTCTGTCTTTGACTTTAGAAGAGAATCTGTTGCTCCTCGCAAAGATTCAGTTATGCCTCCTCCTCATGAGCTTACTCCTCCGCACAGCGCAACCGATGCGCCTCCGATCCCTCCCATCCCCGAGGCCCACGCCACCAAGACCACGGCCCCGGTTCCCGATGAGAAGTCGGATGCGCCTATCAAGGAAGTTGAGAAGGCACCTACCAACACTTCTGCATCTCTCAAGAAGTCCAAGGTGGCAAAGCGCAAGAGCAGCTTCGTCACTTCCCTATTTTCTCGCTCTCCCAGGAACACGCCCGCGCCGATGCCCACCGTGGCATCGTAGATGGTGGCTCTACTTCCCTCGCCCAACTGAAGTCCCTCTTTGTTTTGTATTGTGCTCATTATCGGGTCTGGAGCAGTGGTCAAATTGGAAACTTGACGAGGTCAAGAAACAGAGCATTGCATCGATAAAAAGGGAGACGGAGTTCTGCATTACAGCCCGCTCGGGTATGCTGGAGTCATAGTCTTGGAATTCAACCATTTGTAATCGTATCTGTTCTGTCTAATAGTAGGAGTTATGATTGGGAGATAGACTGATCTGTACTCGTCTCAATCAAGCTCGTACGTGCCAAAACTAGGCATTCACTAATTATATCACACTGATCATCAACCATCTTTTGGACCATGTCCTTCGCCTTCTAAGTGACGTTCAAGTAATTAGCCAATAGCACTTGAGACATCAAGTGCTATAACTTCTTCGATGACAGATTGTTTTGGAAATGCCTCCTTGGTCGACGTTATCCGATTCTACCGGGCTTCACGAAGCTCCTTTAGAAATCTGTGTGATAAATTTGGTCCCGGAAATCTCATTGGCAACCTGGTCGACTCATCAATTGAGGTGGGGGTGGTGAATGCAAGCAAGTATGCCTTTTACGATGAGATGAATGGGGTGACAGTACAGTCTGATTGAAGTAGGTACGTTAGTACCTTGGAACCTGCAAGGTGGGTCTCGCTTAAATTGCCAGCGCTGCCCGCTCAAACGCGCTCAGCACGGGGTTTTCATCAACTCAATGTTTACGTTATCTTATCGCTGCTCCTGCATCGTCATTTCTCCGCTACCGCCTTACCACTTAGGTACGCAGTACGGATACCTTAGTAGTGTTTGATTGCCTCGCCCGCCCACCCGGCTTGCCCGCTCCACACGTCTGATATGCAACCTGGAGACGGTCACGGCATACAGATACGCATCCGTTGATAGGCCAGAACCTCTCTAACATCCCGTACCCAAACGAAACAGGCTTCTTTACTCAGCTTCTCTACAACCACTGTCGGAGGGTCGGAGAGGGTTCTACCAAGCAAGAGAGCGGCACATATTTTCGCACCTGCCTGTGTCAGCGTCCATTTCGGGAAACGAAAGGGTCCTATCAGCGGCCGTCGCTGTGGAGTGAGGCGACCCAACGACTGAGGCTCGACAACGATTGACCTGCTCAACGGCGCAAAGCAGGCTCGTCTCGTGAACTAAACGGCAGGACCTGAAGGAAATAGTTTGGGGAGTCTTGGTGGAAAATGGAAGTGAGTCCTTACAGTTTCTTAGTGTCGTGGTCTTCATGTCCTACCCAAGCTACTGCGGCTCTTTTTGCCCTGCCTTTTCATACACCATTTACGCCCCCCCGGTGAGGCTTCGACATACCAATCCCGAATACAAGACGAATCAACCATATGACTATCCGGGATATGCCTACTGAGGGTTGACTCTTGGTTCGAACGCTCCATAGCAGACCCAAGCTCGTTTGAGGAGACAGATTCACTTCTTACACGGAAGTTCTGAGCGACTCGAACATTGTCAGCATACGCAATGCGTCGGCCTTCTGCGTCACCTCAATGGCCATGCCAGGGAGGTCATCGGACAACAGTAGAGCCAGCATGGGTTGTCCGCGGGAACGGGGAGTCAGGTCGCTGTCCCTCGTCAGATCAAGCGGGAAGGGCTGAGCCACGGTGTCATGGATGATGTGGTGTCTGTACGACAGTGAGATCAGCATCGAGTCAAAGCTAGTTCAACGCTCTTGGGCATCGACGTATGATTCTTCTCGAAAGGAGACCGCATGAACGCCAACTTTTTCTCAACTTTCCGCCCCTGCTTCCCAGCCACGTTTTCTGTTACGAAGATGCGCCAGACCTCGAGCCGGCAGATCTCTCCTGCGTGTGTCCGTCGATGGCGGTCGTATTCTTTCGACGTGTCTGAGAAAAACAAGCTTTTCAGATCGGGACATCTTGGAGAAGCCGCGAGCGAGTTGATGCGAGGGTTTGGTGGCAGGTCAGCCAGGGAAGCGGGAGCTCCCAGGGCCTCGCTGGCAAAAGTTTTGTTTGAGAGACTCGCCTCGATTCCCGTCACGGATCGTTGCCAGGCTTGAGATCCGGTCGACCTCATCAAAGAATCCGCACAAACATCGAGTGTCCCCTCGGTCTGTGGCATCCATCTTCCCGAGACAGCAACAAACAAAGAAGGGCAAGCAGTCTACGGCATTGCAACCAGCCCGGCGAGACTATAACTCGCTTGGACCACGGCGCGGAATTGGGAGGGGGGAGAGTCTGAAGAGTGAGAGAGAGGGTGAAGTGAGGACGGGGATTCCTTGCAGCGCGAAAGGGCGGTCGCCGCCGTCGCCGCCGCCGCTGCGATGATCG